ATGCAGTGAAATAGTTTTTTATTTTTTTCTGAGATATTTTCAAGAACTTAAACAAATAAAGAAAGGCACAACGGTCTATTAAAAAATTATGTTAATAGATCAATTATTTCTGTAGTTCTTTGAATCCCACAGGATGGAAAGCTGCCACATTGAGCCAGGTCTGTAATAAAGGAGATAGATCTCTACATTCTATCGTCGAATTACTCTAAAATAAGTTATCAGGCAATTACCCATATTAACATAGGTGCTTTAGTTTGGTTTTATTTGTTTTATAAAACTGTAATATCAATATAGCTATAGGTTAAGTAGTAATTGTAATTAGGAAGCAATAAAATGCTTATCTTCAAAACTAAGACGGTTAGGTTAGGTCGTGGTTTTCTATTCAGCTTTTCAGGTAAACTCAAATATTCACAATATATTTGACAGTACGGTTTAATACTAAGTGAAAATAAGTACAATTTCTGACTGTCATACATAGTACATAATTGCACTTATTTGTCTTCTTACATTTACCACCCCATTTTTGGAGGACGGGCTGCATGGAGAGTGGCAGGCACTTCTGCTCCTTCCTTCAGTATCCATCCAGATGATGAGATTCCATCCAGGCCTATAGCCTGTCACATCAAGCTCTAACGGATGCTTCCTCAGCTGGTAATCACAAACTTATCAAGTGGTGCTTGGTTAGATGTTCCCTCTCTTATCTCTGGGACTTTCCCTTACTCTACTGTGAAGACCTGGAATTATTTATTGTGTTCCTCGCACACTTCCTTGTAGTTTGTTGGTAATTTGTGTATCCCTATCCTCGCTTACATTACCTGTTCCTTCACTGTTGTTTTGGGGAATCTAGGAGGGTCTGGGGTGGTGTAGCCGAGAGGGTCTGGAGTTGGGGTTAATTAGGGCATGGGATGGGGGAACAGGAGGGGCCATGTGGAAGGAGGGGGGAATAAAGTGGGGGCTGGGTGTGGTAGGACGGAGAGCTTGGGGTGGGGGGGGTAATAGGTAGGGCATGGGCTGGAGAATTATCAAAAGGCACCAAGCGGGGAAGGCTATGTAGCACTATCAAATGTGCGGAATAATCAGAGGGCGCTAAATATCACTGAGGATGCCAATGTGAGAACAGAAATGCATAAGGCGAACATGGGCTGGAGAAACTGGGAAACACATGGGGTGTGGGAATAGGGAGAGCATGGGGGGCCTGGTCTGGAGAGGGTTTCTACTAGTTGGGGAGGTGCAGGTAATTGGGGTGGGAGGTTTCTGTTGTATTCCTAGAGGTTACCTAGAGGTAAGCCTCTTAGATTCCTAAGAGGAATCTTAGATTATCTTAAGAGGAATCTTAAACCTCTTAGATTCCTAAGAAGTTTGTTATATTCCTGTGTGTATTTACCCAAGTGGAGTTACAGGATGAGAGCTACACTCGTGGTGTCCCATCTTCCCAGTGCTCTTTGCCTTATAATGCTTTGAAACTACCGATGGTTTTGGCGTATTCCAACCGTCTACCACTGTTTGCAAAAGAAAACTTTCTAATACTTTTGCGGCATTTGTGTGTGTGTTGTCATTCAGCATATTTGTGTGCGTCAATAAAGATTTATATTTGGATTTTCAGTAATTCATATTAGATGTACATATGTCCCAATAATTGTTTTATATGTATCTGCCACTCAAAAAGCAGTTTGGAATAAACTTTAAAAATAACAAACTTAAAAATTTCAGTATATTGCACTGACTTTATATATATATTGTAAATTATATAATTTGTAGACAAAATTTGCACTTCAAAATTATATGGATACTGATGATTCTTAAGGTTAAAGTTAAAAACATTAGTACACATTTTGGCATCCAACTCATAACTGAAATCCATATAATTTAGCTCTTGTTGACTCAAAATAATATAAAGTATAATCCGTGTTTTACAGTACATACTTTTAAAATATTGTGCTTCAGGCCCAAGTAATTCCATTTCATAGTAAACTGGATAAATGTTCAAAATATTAATAGTTCTGAATTTGGTACTACAATACCACAGTAAATCTTAACACCAGGAGGCAAAAAATCTGACATTATATATCACATTATTAAGATAGAAGCCACTACAGTTGTCATGTACAAGTTAAGAAACTGTTAGACAAATACCTCTTGAAATCTACAGACTTTTGATATTAAATTGGTCTTCCTGAAACAGTCCTGTTAATAATAAAATCTATACTTTTAGTAATGCATTTTAAATTTATAAGTGGAAAACTGTAAATTGCCATTATTGATCATTATAAAAAATAAAAACTTTAAATAAAGTTTTTATTTTTGTCTGGCAGAGATGTCCTACAGTTCAAAGCCACCTTTTAATTTAAACCTAATACTGTGCAGCATTATGTCTGATCATCAGTTTTCCTAAAATGATGCTTTCAGTGATTCAAAAGCATGATATTTAAAAGAAGAAAAATATTTACAAAAAAGATAGCACTTTCTATTGATAATTACCTTAAGCCAGTATGATTACATA